CCTCTGCAGTACTTTCCTGTCCGCAGCTGAGCACCCTGCATACCATGATGTTATGCCGTACGTTAGGATGCTCTCTATGGTGGCTCTGTAAAATGTCACCAGCAGCCTCTCCTCCAGGTTGTTCCTCCTGAGCACTCTCAGAAAGCGGAGACCCTGCTGGGCCTTTTTAACCACCGCCGTGGTATTTGTAGTCCAGGAGAGGTCATCAGAGATGTGCACGCCCAGAAACCTCTGACAGACTGTGATCTACAGTATTTGTCAGGAAGTCCTTGATCCAGAGGCAGATGGGGGTGGAGAGTCCCAGGTGAGACAGTTTCTGGACCAGGATCTCCGGGATGATATGATTGAATGCTGAACTAAAGTCCAGGAAGAGCATTCTCACATAGCTTCATCAGTCCTAGATGTCGCCTGGTTATTGCTTCTGTAGTTGGTAATGTGATTGATCCCCTGCCACATTTTTCTGGGGTCGTTGTCAGCAAAGTGATCTTCAATCCTCCTCCTATAGGCAGCCTTAGCTTTCCTGATGGAAACAGCTTCCACTGATCGCTGATGAAGTGGTTCGATTTTGCTCTGTTTTCCTTTTTTTTTTCCTTTCGCCAGCTCCGCTGACAGAATAATTACACTGGTGGTTTTGTAAAACGGAATTCCAATTATTTTGGTGTGAGTATCACAAATGAGCCATCAGATATCGCGACTGTGCATGGGGGTGGGGAGCCATTAGCAAAGCACACCCTCATCTCCCATTTTCTTTTGACAAGGTCAGGAAAAGAGGGGGAGCAAGATTGAAAAGAAGAGACACAGAGGCATTAGAGAGCAGCCACAATAAAAGGAGAAAGGCAGAGGGATGAATAGAGCTGAGAGAGAAATCAGCTGAGCCACTATAAGATGATACCTTTGCTCATAATGACCCTATCTGAGGGGTAATGTAATGCAGTTGAGTGAAAAGCCACAGTTTAACATCTATCTGAGGTTCACTTAGCAGTCACGTCATGTATCCTTCTCTCTATCAACAGGTTTGGCAGCTTCTCACCCACTCACAGAGAGAAGAAGAAAAAGAGTGGGAAGAAACACAAGCGAGACCGGTGAGTGCGCACATGCACGTGCACGTGTGTGTGTGTGTGTTTGCGTGTGTGTGCAAAGGTAAAGAATCTGGATTTTGAAGGCTTTGATCAACAGTTCGCCTTGTGATGAAGCATTTTCAGCACTGTAGTTCATTTATCCGAAATATTAAAGGAAAAGGGAAAGGTGAAAATGAGGCTTGGAAGAGACCCCAAAAGCAAGCGCTCATCAACAAAAACTCTAGGTGCCTTGGGATATCATAACAGCAATAAGCAGTGGTAGAGTGGCCTCTTCCTCCTCTGGTTTCCCTCATTCTCTGCCTGACTCAAGGGGAAATGGGCTAAATGTGTTGCTCTAATAACCCAGTCTGTATGACGGGGTGCACAACTCAAGAAAAATGAGCCTCTTACTAAATTGCTGAGCATCACTGCGCTGCCCTGCTCTGCTTTCCCTCCTCCATCCATCCACTCTCATCCCATTTCCCCCATGTCCTCTCTACTCATTGCCACGCCTCCGTTTCAGCCTCACAGCAAGGATGTTCTGCATTGCAGGTGCTGCTGATATCAGAATGCCTAGAACAAGGAAGCAGGAGGGCGACATACAACGTTCCTCCAAAGAGACATCCTCCTCTGATGCTCTTCTTTAAGATGCAGATTAGGAAGGGGAGGGGGGAGATTATATGCAGTCCTGTCCTGCTAACATTTCGCTGGTCTTTGTTTCTTTAAAATAGCAGCGGGTTGATCTCAGGCCATTTGGGTGCATATTTGTCTCATAGCTATACTGTTTATGCCCTTGTGATAAACGTTGTGCCGTGGCGAGGGATTCAGCTGTCACCAGAGCTTGTGACAGAGGAGGAGAAGAATGTCCTCTCCAGAATAACACCTCATACACAACAGTCCCTACCTGAGGCCCTTCGGTGGGGAAGCATGGGTTGTCACGAGGGCCACAGCTCTCAGTCACATACCAGCCACATTTATTACTGTGACAGCTTTATTACTCCTCCTTTGTCAGAGCATCAACAAAGTGCTCCCTCCCACTCTGTGCTGCATGCTGTAGGTGTGTAAAACAGCATGGGAGATGTAGGGCTCTTCAGGAAAATAACTTGCACAGGCCAGCCTGAGTAATCACCATGGAAACTGCAATGAGGGTGAAAAGTGATAGGAAGGTGATGTGTCAGTCCTGTGCTGAAGACTGAGGAATAGCCCATATCCTGCTTATTATGTTAAAGGGGCTTGGCCAATAAGTGTGGCTTTATTGTAGGGAGCAGCATGTTCTACTAAGTGTGATGACCAACACATGTAAAGTACAGAACTGCTGTTAGAGCTCCCTGCAGATGTTGCTGCACATATAGATGCATGTGATTCAGAGTGCATTGTTTGCTGAAATATCCCACCCCTTACCTTCCAGGAACATTTCTTACAGTCTTTTGTTGGTAAAGTTGATAAGACCAGGCCTGACATCACTCCCCTGCCTTTGCAGGGCTCTAGACTAACTTTTTGCCATAGGCGTATGCCTAACTTTTTAAAGTTAGGCGTACCGGCACAAAAGTTAGGCGCACACAAATGTTATAATAATTTATATAATATGTGTTTTTCTGGATACACTGTGCTTTTACAGCATTCAAAGACTGATGACACCGTGACAGAGCACTGGCTATGAATTTCAGAAGGATCAGGCCTTAACTTAACAGAAAAGTTAGCAATAGTTCTTTTCCTATTACAGCTACATCCACTTCTGTGGTGCCTAGGCTGCTCACTAGGGCTGGGTATCATCACTGATTTCTATAATCCATTCGATTCCGGTTTTCAAAGTCCCGATTCGATTCAACTTAGCCCCAGACAGTCAGAAATATTATAATTCTGATCATTTATCAGTACTGACTTCATCAGAATTGTGAACATCACAGCAGATGCCTTTGTGTGAAAGTAACTGAGAATAAAACACAGAAAAACATGAAGGAGATTTTCCTGGTCTGGCTTTTTATAGCAGATAACCTTAAAAATATTCTACAATGTTCTGCATATAAAGTTTAAATTTCTTCAGTATTGAACAACAGAAAAAATAGGCTTTCTTGTCCCAAGTCATTTAAGTGAAAAAAAGAAAAAGAAAAGAAAAAGCCAGCAGCCGACAGCGCTGTAAACAACGGTAGACTGGTGGGTAATAAGCGAATGAATAATACAGAAAACAGAGATTGGAGACAGAAACTGTTCTTGAAGTACAGAGATAGAGAGAGAGCTAGCTGTGCATGAAGTGTGATTTTAATAGTCGTGGAAGGAAAACAGCAAAATTCATGACGACATTGATCAAATGTGAAGCGCAGTTTGCTGCTTCTTTTGCTGCTGGCTCGGTGAATTATGGTTGGAGAGACAAAACCTGCAGCTCAGAATCGGCGCAAAAAGACGCAATCACAGCAGACCGGACGCATCAGAATCGCTAAGCTCCGACAGCGTGTCCGTCTACGGGCCGTCGGGTGAGAAAGCCGAGAAAGACAAAGTTGATTCTGATGCGTCGGTCCGTTCTGTGTTTACGTCTTTGTATGGAATCCGTGTACCTGCTCTCGTTTGCTGTTTGGTTGTTGTTGAAATGGTTTTGTGAGCTTTAATCTGAGAATCTGGCATTTCTGGCAAAACACAGTTATATTTAAAAGTCGATTCAGGATTTAATGAATTGATATCGCTTTATTCAAGCTACTCACCTCCCACTTCCACCTGCACTTTCAACTGGACCACGGCCAATCAGAGAGGTCCCACCCCTGACTATCTCTGATTGGTTTAGTCCACGATAGGGGCAAAATGTGTGTCTGTTGTTGACCACAGGGAAGGTTGCAGATTTTATTTTATTTTTTTGCTACCAAAACAGTTGGTCGCACAGGTGCAACCAAATTTTTTTTTTTAGTCGCACCACTGAAAATTTTGGTCACATTTGCGACCAAATTGGTCGCACTCTAGAGCCCTGCTTTGATCCCTCTGTCCCACATTTTCTGCTGTTTTTGACCATTTCTTTCTTTCTCTACTTTGGCTGAAGTGAAGCCCAGTCTGTGGTCCTGAAACAACCATTCAAAGAGGTCTTTGACACTTGGGCCTAGTGTGCTATTCATAATTAACAGCTGTCTACTGGCAGCCAGTTTTATTTTATTTATTTATTTTTTGATAACTTTATTTATGATTTTCCAATGTGACAAAAATACAGAAAAATATAACTGGAATTGCGATTACAAACATTGCCATTGTGAAACTGGTTGTGCCACGCAGGAAAATGTATAATGTATGGACACAAACAAGAAATACTACCATGTGAACAAGGCAGAAAACACCAAAAAGCAAACAAACAAACAAAAATAAAATAAATAAGGGGGGGGG